ACCAGTTGCTCTATTTCAAAGGAGTACAATTGTTTAAATGTAAAGTTAAAGAGGGTTAAAAGCATTCTCGGTACATAACAAAATTACAAAATTAATTCAAAATAGCAAAGAAATGAAAAATTGAAAGTTCAATAAATACCTTTTATTTACAAAATTTCAAATACATTCAATATTAACCCTTTGTACTCGAGAGCTGACTCTCAGTGACCACTAGATTTGATATAGTAAAATTATAGTCTTAGATATAACATTGTACTTTGTATAATGCACCCATATGTGTAATATTGGAACTAAATAGCTTGGTTTTTTAATTTACGTAATTTTTCTCATTAGTTGGTTTTCAAAAAATGTCGTTAGATTTCAAAGAATGTTGTTCACATCTCAGTGAAAAATGTTGAACATTTCTAGTGAAAAAATGTCGAATGCAGAGGGTGAAATTTTACATAAGGCACTAATTATACATCGAATATTAAAATAAAGTAGTACCCTAATTTATACTCGGTATAGATGATCTATTTTTATGTTGCAAATACTATCTCGTTCATCAATGATTTCATCAGAAAATAATGAATATTTATGCTCAGAAAAATTCCAAAATGTATCTACGTATGTACTGTGTCCGTACAATTTCCGGGCCCACCGGGAATCAATGATTAATCGGTCGGATTAATGTTTTTCCCCTCGTCCCGGAAAAAATTTATGGCCACTCGGCGCGGCTCCGAACGGCAGCAAACATTATTACAATAGCATTATCCTGGGCAATCGATCCGGACCGCCGCGCTCGCTGATCCTCGTGGAGATTTATATATAGATAGTCCGCGAGGCGAATTACGCGTAAAAGCATGCCTCGTGGCTGAAGTCGGTTACACACTGGCTTCTAGCTAGATCAGCGTATTTTCGAACAGATCCAGCATCATTATACTAGTCCATTTGACTTATGCTCGCGGGCACGTTTGTAACGCTTTGTAACAAGTCCAACAGTAGGTCCTCGGTAATTCCAATTTTTGTTTCCTTTGCTGTTTGAGCTTATTGAGGTTCATCGCAGAAATACTCGATTAGCAGAAAATCCTTGTAATTCCATAAAATTACGCTTATGCAATGTTTAATGAAATCATTGTCATTTAGTGAACAAATATTTCATAAGTTTGTGATACGTTACATTGAATTTCGTCGAACTATGCAATAAAAGATAGTTACAACTTATACAGAGATCTTTATACAAACATAATGAGAGATAACTCTTTTTTCCTTAATTGGACGATAACCTTGATACAATTCAATCTATAAAAAATGAATGAAACAATTACCACAATGGTATATCAGAATTAACTATTACTTTTCAAAAATTGGTACTGGAAACATAGTAAGTAGCAATAATTGTAATAAATATACGGGTCAAAAACACTCAAAAGTGGGAAATATTTATTCAAAAATGTAAACATGTTTAAAAGTGTGGATTCAAACATAAAAATGTAAATTAAATTCGTCGTTTCACTCGTTGAATGCTAAAGGAATTAAAGAACGAAGGAATTTTGTGGTTATGATATGATACGTTACAATGGAATTTTGAAGTTAGAAACACCTATCAAACACGAATTCATACAGTTTTACCTAAGTACGCGTTGCGCATTTATGTAGCAGAAGGAAAGGTTCCAAATTTTCTACGGAGCACAGTGCATCATACCAACCTCAGGGTCAGACATCTAATTAACGAAGGTCGACTGTAATCCAGCGATTACTTCTCGTGATACTACGTAGAATAAAGTTGTCCGGTATAAATTTTATCTTGAAAATTATGGTTACCAGGCGAGCGCGCGGCCGCGCGCGAAATCAAGCGTCCCAGCTCCTAAAATCCTCGCGGAGCTTCCGCACTCTTGTCGGCGGTAACAATTTCCAAAGAAAAAGAGCTTCTCATCGTCTAAAGAGCTCCCCCTTCGTCGACTATAATCTCTTTTACCCTTTTGCCTCTATGTCCTTCACTATTTCTATGCTTTCGTGGTTCGTTCAATGCTGTCTTCCGTCCATTTTCCCTGTTGCGTCACTTGCTCGAGAAAAATAAGATTTACCTTACGAGCGAATTACTTTTTCTCCCTGAGATGCCGTATTCTCTTGGGACATAAATGTTTCTTGCGATTATTTCTGGCTTTTTAAGTTTAATGGTTTCAGACGTATTACTCGACCGATGCTAATGTGTTTTTAAATATATTCTTACTATTTTCGTTTTGTTTTTCATTAATTTCTGAGGGAAATGAAATCTACATACGGTTTACGGCATTGTATGATTATTTTATTATATTTAAAGGCGGGTATAAACATTGTTCAGCGTTTATTATCAATACTTTAGTTTTATTCATTCATAAATTATTAGCTGTTGTTCGTAATGGTTGATTATAATAACTATGTGTCTCCATTTCTATGTTGAATCAAAGTAAGTATATTCAGGGTCATTAATGATCCTACACTCTGAAGATTAATTTATAAAAATAGGATGCGAACAAAACTTTAAAAGTTCGAAAGTATTAAACTTTGAAAGTTTCAAAGTTTGCAAGCTTAAAAGTTTAAAGATGAAGAAAATTGTAAATTCAAAAATTTATATATCACAAGCTTTAGAAATTCAGGAATTTGAAAATGTAAAATGATTAATTTTTTTTGTTAAATCGCTACTTTACTAGAAATCCACGATATACCTATCCTTGGACGTTCCAGACGTATCTTCCCTTAAATACAAAAATAAAACTCTGTAATTCCTTTTCTTCCTAAACTCCTCGAATATCATTATAAAAGTGTGCTCGTCTCAGGTCCGCTCTAAATATTTCAAACAATTATTCTCAGGGATCTTAGATCGGACAATGGTTACGTTACGGAACAGAGTTCCGTTTTCAAGGAGCAACGAAGTACCGGAAATAAACGTTCTAGCATCTCTGTTGTTATCTTCGCATATATACCGTTGAAATACGCGGTCTCTTGCCTTGTGAAATAACGCCGTTCCGGTCGGCACTCTCAAAAAGATTACGAAACGATTAGGCACGCTCACTGGAAAGGGTTGCGCGAAGAGGGACCATTATTTTCATCAGGCACGTCATCCCCGAACGCAGGAGGGTAATTCGAGCACCGCTGCTGAATTTTCCCGCGTCCCTTGCACCGTCGCTATCGCTGCCGTCGCTACTACCGCCGCCATTCCCGTTTCACGAGAGCGAAATTTAGTTTTGTACTGAAAAAATTGCAGAGGATAATAGACTTTAAGCGACTCCCGCGACTTTTTAATTAACGTTGAATAACGAGTCTCATCAACGTCCTCTGAGCGCGTACGTCGAATAATTACCGATAGTTTGACCGTTCTCCCCTTGGACCAATTTCACTGCGAGTCAAAGCCCAATTGCGCAAACGAGAAAACTGGAATTTTTGTGAACGCAAAAGAATGTAAAAGTTGCATGCCCTGTTGAGCATGTCCGAAATAAATAATTGGCACTGATGATGATCGTCAAATGAAGTATAGGCTAAATTGGAATGTAGCTGTTAGAATTTATCAGATCACTTTTGTGTTAAAAAAGTGTTTCTCGTGAGTATTGTATCGGTAAGCTTAGTATCGTTGATAATTAAACTATATCGGGAATGAAAAGCTGATGTACTATCTTTTAAATATAGGATTTAGATAAAACTAATTAACTTGATTGATTAATTTCCTACCTGTAATAAATAATTGAAAGGGACAATATTTCCAGTATTATTTATATCGAGAATCACTGAAAGTTTAATGAATATCTCGAAGGTTGCCACTCTTTCAAACCATGCCTTGATAATACTTTACTCAATACACTTTCGACTAGCAAAATTAAATATTACACATTACAATGAAAAATTCAAGTGACATTAATATCTCTATGAAGAACCAAAATATTAGCAAAATAATGATTACATCACACACCTCAATCTATAACTACTTTGAAACAATTTTGTATATAATAATTTATACATAATCGAATCAAGTAAATTTACTTGGCCCACCCTCTATGTCTGCATAAATAAAGGGTCATTAAAAATACATCAAATGCATTGGTGAATGGTAGAATTGTATCGAATTTCATGCGTCACGAATCGTTCACAACGCGGTCGAACGCGTACAAATAACGTGAGCATCGATTTATCATCCAGCATTCTGCATTTGTCACTGAAACGTCCCGATATCGCTTACGAAACTCGATTAGGAGCAAAGAAGAGTGAAGGGAAGAGTAAAAAGAAAAAAGTGGCGTGACAAGAGGGCAGAGGTATTCGTTATACTCGTAGATAAGCTTCATTGCATTTGATCTATGTCGAGTGCTGGAAAACTACGGTCAGAGGAATGACACTTTCATCTCTCGACAAAAGGATCTCAAAAGTTAGTAGTTGATACGATTGTTCCACTACGTCGCCGTAGATCCTACTTCATTAGCATCCCCTGGTATCCATTTTGGGATTATTTTCGTCACGATGAACTCTACACTCTCCATCCAATTCTTCCTTTCTTGAATTTGTTAATCATCGAATAATAAAACGCTATCACTTAAAACATTCGGTTTATTTATTTAACAAGAAGAAAATTTGTATTTTTTAATAGAAGAAATACAAATGAAATTCTATATATTCCCCGATAATATATTACATTTATTAATCTACATTTATTTAGAAGTATCTCTTTAATGTGCTTTATATTTTTATATTGAAAACTGATTAAAATTTTTAAAATTTTGATACTTTATTTTTTATCCAGAAAATTACAATAGAAATCGACACGTATTATAAATATATTGATAAAATAAAAGTGACACAATTTTATTCTAATACTTTTCAAGATGAAGTTACTAAATTTTATGTGAAATAATTAAGGAATTCTTATGGAATATATATTTTTACATTTAAAACCGGGTTTACATCATTTAAAAAATAGATGTTTAATTGGATAATTGTATAAAAGGAATTTTTGTAGAGCACGAAATAATGATTAAATGAATTTTCTATTTAAGGCGACTCAACCCAACTAGATCTGGATGGATTGCTCTACATCGGTGGTGTAGGAGCACCCTTTGCACCTCTAACAATACCTCCAGTTCTGTGGACAGGTGCCCTGAGACAGGGTTATGTCGGTTGCATGAGAGAGCTTGTCATAAACGGCCAACCGATCGATATAGCTGGATACGCTCAACAACAAGACTCCGGTAAGGAAATATGAAAAATTTTAAAGTGACAATTGAAATAAAAATTCTTCATAAATTCCAAAGATTCCTTTAAAGCAGATATTTATTATTCGTAAATAAGTTTAATAAATTATATCTATCAGTTCAACAGAAAATAGTATCAATTTTGTAAAATTATTATATATTTTTGTTATTATGGATTTATAAAAGATATAATGAAGAATTAAAAGATATTTAGGTACCTAATGGCGGTCAATGAATGTAATAAAACATTTCATATTTTTATTTCAATGTATCTTTGGGAGATAGTATAAAATACTTTCAAATGATTTTGAAATAAAAATGTAAAAAGATATGGAAACAAATTAAATCATTTTTATCATTTTACATTCTGAATAATTCACTAAAAATTAGCCTGAAATCAAAATTCTATGTTAATGTTTAAACAATTTAGAAAATTTCTATTCTTCTGAAATGGACTTTACATTTAACTCTTATACAGTTAAATGTATGCAGAAATAGATAATGCTCTTATATTCCTTCTACTAGTTCATTAATGTCTATAATTAGCAATAGTCTGCATGTAAATCACAAAACATTAACATAAGTATATGTTAATGAACGTACGAATGTACGAATATCCTGTTCACCAGAATTATTGTTTAATACATCGTAGGTTACAAAACATGCCCTATTTGCTATAATACAATAGAATAGGTTATTGAATGTATTATATCAATTTACTGAATACTCAACGGGTTCAAAATTACAATTAAAATGGAATAACAGAGCCGAAGCAGTAACGTTAACGCGAAGCTGCTTAACGGCAGTTTATAAATCAATTTATATACACAGTTACTTTAAATTATTTAATTTTTATAGGAAATTATACATTAAATGAATCGTTCATTCGGGATAAAAGTGTATACTGAAATATTGCATTAAAAATGTCATTCAAAAGTAGTAATATATATCATAACATAAAGTCATGAACTTATATGCTGACAGTAGTAATATTATATTTTGTTTTATTTATAATAATAGTTAATGATAATGCGAAATATGTTTAAACACACTCAAAGCTAAAAATCAATTCAAAGTATAAATATCAGAAGAAAAAAAAATTGTTCGCTGTGGACAGGATTCGAACCTGTGCGGGCAGAACCCATCAGATTTCGAGTCTGACTCCTTAACCTCTCGGACACCACAGCTTGTGGAAAATGACTGTTCTAAAATGTACTTGTATAAGTTTCAAAGATTTTACTTAAATAATTCTTTTTCGTATTATATTAATTTATGAATTATTATATTAATTTTTACAATAATAATAAAAAAATATCAAACAATAATTTCAACAAACGAAAAATATGAAATATTTATAGTACCCAAGTGTTCGAAGTAATTTTCAATGACATCGTTCATATCCATTTAGTTATTTGTCATCTTACTAAACAAACTATTAACAAACAAGTTGTATAAAGAATTTTCAAGCAATTACAAAAGAAATTATGTATTGCTAACTTGTTCGAAAATAGTAGGCAGAAATAAAGAAACAATTTCTTATATATAATAAATATTTTATTGTTATTACCAAATTTATTAGAAAAAAAATTACTCAAATGTATTACACAATTTCTACGCAATATAAAAATAAAATCTAAGAAATTTTAATTGAAAAACGTTAATTATGCAAGTTTAATGAAATATTGCAATAATCACAAATAGTCTTGAAATATTTAAGCAAATGAAAATTCTTGTAAATGATAAGATTAAAAAGTAAACGAAAATTTATTATTATTATTACTATACATACATAATTTATTGCGTTTTAACCTTTCATTAATGTTTAAAAAATTCGAATACATAACATTCACAATGCAAGATTATTCACTAATTTTGTTACTCTCATTCCCTTGGATGCAATTTTACATGACGAAATGCATGAAATCTGTTTACCACAAACTGAAATGTTTTTCTCTAGAGGGCTACAGATTTTTGCACAAGGAATTCGGCCCTGAAAGGATGAAAGACTTGAACCGGAAACACTTGTCACTGTCCACGTAATTTCGTTTCTCTGGACAATTTTGCAGGCGCTGTCAGACCAGCTTGTCATTCTCAACCATCCCACTGCCCTTCAGAACCTTGCATGCACGGCGGCCATTGTCTCGAGGGGTGGAACAGGTTTCACTGCGATTGCACAGGAACACCCTACACAGGTCCTACATGCGGAAAAGGTAAGACCGGATTCTCCTTCTGTTCCTGTTTTATAGAATTTTCTAGCTGATCGAATCCTTACTTTATTTTATTTACTTTTCATTTTCTCCGATATAATTTATAATTTGTTGAATATTCGGTACATTAATTTAATAATTTAGTGTTATAACTTGTAAACGTATTCCTAATGTCTTATTAAGTATTAGTCCATACTTTTAGGTTGAATAGGTTTCCTCATCGATTACTGATATTCTAATTAATTAGATTAAGTCACTGGAATGTTTCTCGCAGTTTTCTGAAAATAGCTTTAAAGTATAAAGTAACAGTTAGAAGATTTGAGTGATCTAATATTTTCTTTTTGTATCTTGCAGCAGCTGTTCTATTGTTCTATGGATTGATTCACAAGATGTAGTCAATACATAATAGATGTTATGATAAATGTATGCATTGAAATATGCACCTTTTGAGCATATGTTACTAACTTATTTAAACAGAAATAAATTTAAACTATTGAATATTAATTAGTTCGCTAATTTTTAATCGTATTTATTAATCTAATTACGAAGTTTCTTTTAAAAAATTCTTTTGTTTACAGTACAAGTTAAACAATATGTTTACATGTATCTTTAAAATATAACAATTTTCTGAAAATTTAATGAACCAGAACTAATATACCCAAATTATTTTAACTTTTTCAGATGCATCCACATTGCATTTGAATGGCACGCAGCAAATGACGGCGCTTATGCCAGAAGATTCGAAAACGCAAGCTGAAGAAATTTCTGTACGTTTCAAAACCACAAAACCACGTGGACTGCTTCTGTCAACGAGTTTAGAAAACAGTCCTGACAGATTACAAATCTATCTCGACGAGGGTAAAGCGAAAATGCTGATCCACGTCGGTGATAAAGAAAAGGTGAGTCCAAAAATAGCATGATAAATATTAAATACCAATTTAATAAATCAATTTATTCAAATTCAAATAAAGAGTATTTGTCAAAATTATTATTATATGCTGCATACTGAAACATTTGTAAATATTATAAACCACGTTATAATACCTACATAAAAAATCTGAAACAGATATTCATCAGATTATCTACATTAACTAAAAAATATATCTGGAAATATTTAAAAAAGAAGTGGTTAAAAGATTTATTCACAATAATATAAACTCTCAGTTCAAAAGGCGATTGTATTTATGATATCGAGAGAAAATATTATTACTTCTCCTTGACACCTACAATATTTATTAACCAAATTCCTCTTAAGCTTTGCATACACGTGGAAAGTGTGATTACAAAATAATAATACGAGTACAGAAAATGAGAAAACATCGTGCACATTATTCTGGGATTCCATTTAAATAACGGGATTATTTCGGCCCACGGGAGGCGACATTTAAACCCAATCAGAGAGAAGCCGGCAGCGCTGTTCAACACTGATACCCATAAAATATTTAAATAACCGTGGTAACGAGACCGAACGAAAAAAAGACCGGTGATCATATCGTATGAAATAATTCCAGGATCAACACTTTTTCTATGAGGATTAGCATCACGTTGTCCGAAACTAATCGCAAGAGTATTATCCTGGACTTCCCGTAACATGATAGTGCATGAAAATTTCGACGACCTTGCACACCGGGTGACCATAATTCATCGACCCGGTCGGGTCGTTTCTTCTGTGACAGAATAAATTGGCTGTAAAAATTCAAATTGAACGAAAATAGAGGCAACCGACGGAGTCCCGTATAGTTGTAATTCATGGAGGATCTTGGAATTCCAGTTCTTTAATGGAAAGTACGTGCGGAAGACGCGTGGAACGTTGCTTCGGTGTATATAACACCGTTTGACCGGCTAAAGAATAATGTTCGCCTAATACATCACCGTGACGGAATTTCAATATTCAATCTTTACAACTTGTTCTTCGGGTACATTTTTGGTAGACGGATCTACCTTTTAAAAAATTGAACTGATATTTTGATAACCACAACTGAGATGCTGTAAATATATAATCATTAGTTTTTGATTTATTTAATTGTATAAAACTAAAATAAATTTCGTTAAGTTATTAAAATCTTTACAATTATACAAATTGCTTATGTTGATGAAAAATTCAGTTCTACTCTTTTTAATATTAAAAATAATTTAGGAAATTAAAATGTATAAAATATATGAAATTCTCTGTACAAAATTAAAATATGTAAAATAATTAAATTAAAAATTAAATTCTCTTTCGGATATTGAAATATCTAAAATACATTAAATTCTCTTTGCAAAGTTAGAATATGTAAATTACAATAAAGATATTGGTAAGAGAATATATTTAGCTGTTTGTTTTTTAAAGTCTGTATTCTGATGGAAAGTTTTAGTACTTTGAATTGCCAAGTGCCTTAAACAGTCAATGCGAAGTTAAAACGCTTGGCAGTCGTTGCATCCATCAATACAGCTACCTCTTTACTTCGTTTTACTCACATCCTACGTATATACTGTTTCGTTATACATACATTTTAGCGTTATGTAAACTGAAATTATGATACAATTTGTTTCTATACGGTGGAACAATATTGCACGCTTTAGAAACTCGCATGCTTATTGATCAAAAGTTAATAATTTAGGAGCATAATTCATAGTACTTATAAATATTTTGTAAAGAATCGAATAATTTCAATTTTATTGGAGGTAATATGAAAAGTTCAATGTTATAGAATAAATTGTTCATAATTGTTTTTATCATTAACCACTTTTATAGTCACTTCATATTCAACATAACTTCAACGAAACTTAGTTGCACAAACGTTGCACTGGATCTTTCCTATATTTTAATACTTTCATTTTTATATTTATCATTAATATAATACTTGTATTGTTAATATCTCTCTACATTTTGATTTTCTCTTACCGGTACCGTTTTATAAAATTGTATGCTCATGAAATAATAAATATACACATATATTATGCTTTATACAGTCAAATGGCACGTGAATTATCGCAATATCTTGTATTAGCAATTTAGTTACAACGTTTGAAGGTAGCCATGCACTTGGTGGAAATTAATGCTTTCCCAACGTACCCATCAAAATGGTTTCAGTTTGATATGAGGAATTCATAATTGAACCTGACCGAAAAATGTCGAATAAACGCGCTCCGTGATCGTAGAAACAATTTTCCACAGAAAATTTATGCAGTATTAATTCCCTTCAAAATAATACCTTATTTTATTAATTACAATTACCATAATTACAAATTTCATTATAATAACAACACATTATAATAACAATTTTATTAATTGTAATTACCATAATCCGAATTTCCATTAGAGTAATCAATAATCCTTCACGTTATCATTTATGAAATTTTGTTAATATATAACTCACTGAGCAATTTCAAAATATTTTTGTTATTCCGTAGTTAAAAATTAAATATCAGTACAACAGCAGTACTACAATACATAAAATTTAATTTTTAATCGTTAATGCTATTTAATAGTCCCTAGTATATTAGCATAAAGTAACTATTATCCACTCAACAATTCCAATAATCTAAAATATGCAATTTGACATATAAACATTAAATGTTCTTTACTGGCCTCAAATATTTATTGCGTTTTCTGTCAAGCACGAGAGTTGAAAAGCATTCAAATAACTTCTTTTGTAAAACAGATGCAAACTGTATTAAACGTTCTGTTCTCATTTTTCGTTCTTATTACTTACCCCTTTACAAACTTTTGATCGGTATGTACACAGACTTCGTAATGTAGCTCGAAGCGAACCTATTTGAGGGGAAAACATGGAGTCACAGAATACAACCCCACACGATTAGAGGAGGCTGTAATTTACGTTTATGTTTCAATCTCGGTCTCTACACGGTTTCGATAATTAAACGGAATAATTGATATGGTAATGAACCTTTTAATTAGCTTAGAGAAAATAGAATCGTCAGTAATTTTGTACATTAACTGTTGATATAACGTGCCGTACTGATTTAATAAATTATCAGTTCTTCTTTCTTGTTACAAAATTTCCAGAGCAATTCATTTCTAAAGTTTTTTAATTTTATAATTGTGTTAAATTTCGTCATAACCTTCCTGTGCTGTAAACATTTAAAATTCACTAGACAATGCCAATAAAAACAAACTTAGGAAGTAAATAATAATTATTAAATTCAATAATCAGTGACAATGTGTAATAGATTAATATTAACTGTCGAATCTCTGTGAATCGATTTAGATTGAAGAATGGACATTAATGTGGTCACATGCTTAAATCCATGAGGATAGCAATTCTGTCACGGAATCTTTAGATACCTATAATTACATTAATAAAAATACAAAAAAGCAACTGGAAATGAATATTATGAATGAAATGAATTAAATTATACATGAATCGTTTCGGCGTATGTGCAAATAGGTTCGAAGCAGTCCGATTGGCAAACAGCTGGACGCGGAATCAGGTCAGTGGGTGAATACTGTGTGCCAATTAAATGGGTCAAATTAATTAACGGTGCGCAAAATTACCCACCGACTTTTGCAATATAGATTATTCGTATTTGCAGAGGGAACGACACTAAATTAAATGAAATACTGCCGCGCAATAGTTACCTCGGCGGATTGAAAAAGCAAAGGGCGATTCTATTAAAACAGTTTCAATTTATTTCTTACTAGTTATTATTTTGTGTCCCAACAACAATTTCTAAGCATCGAATAATTACATACATAAATGTTCCTGCTATTTATATGATCCATACAGGTTTATAAGTTTGAATTACATCGATTCCTTTTTTTTGTATATTTATGTTCTCTAAAACGTGAGAAATGTGCACTACATATCAGCAATTAACGAGATACTGAATACTATTCAAGGCTGAATAGTTTGCGATAAAAAGAAAACTTCAGAGAAAGATCAGGATTTAATAATAAGAAAAACTTGATATTTCTGATAAATTTTCTGTTGAAAGATTTTGTTGGTCACACGGTTGAACATTTCGATATCGTTGAACTTTACGAGTAAATTGAAAGTGTGATTAAGAGATGAAGGAATACAAAGCGAGAGACAAGGACGAAATTAACGAATTTGCATTATGCATCAACCAATGAACGAATCGCCAATCCACCCTCGATATCGCTGAGCGATATATTGAGCGGTCAACTGGAAGCATCCTGATTGCAAAATTAGTTACACATACACACCTGCGCGGTTCATACGGTTGAAATACTCGATATGGTTGGTAGCAAACGAAGAGTGCGGGCTTAGAGGGTACATTCAGAAATTCATTTAGCCTCGGAGAAACCGATCGATGCAGAAAGCATGACAAGGCACACGAGCTATCCACATGTCTTCTACAACATATGAGTCGGTTTTTCTTTTAAAGTGGTATAAGTTCATCTTTTCATACTCTAGACAGTGTACAACACTGTGGCTTGCTATTCCTCTTTAATAATCTTTAGGAATCTTGCAAAACTTTTCCAATTAAGAGTTTTCTTTAGTCTGTTTAGGTTCAGAAAGAAAGTATTTGTTATAATGCTTGTAGAATTCGTCTCAGCACCTCCCAAAAGACGGGTGTAAAAAAAATTGTAGGTTTGCCTATAAATAACTGAAGGTGACCTTGATAATTCTAGGAAAAAAGGGTTGACAAAAAATATGATATAATCATCTTAAAGCTCTCCTTGAACTACGTTATTATAGTTAAACCAATTCCCATCGAACCGCTAGCAGCAGAATAATCCCAGGTGATCATGATTCGTCGCCCACCTTGTAACATCGGTTCTAAAGAACCGGAACCGAAATCGAAACCGATATAGCGAATAACGGTTATCATTTATTTCGGCTCTTCATAGCTGTTTCAAGAACTGAAATCGATATCACAACTGTTTTCAATCCTGGGTTAACCAGTTAACTGTGGAATTTAGTTTAAG